AGAAGTTGAAAAAGAAAGAGGTTTGTCAGAGATTGTTAGCAAACTTTGACTCCTAGATAAAAAGCAAAACCAGCCGTGTGCTCCACTCATCTGGATGCATTCTTCATTGTGGCCCTTTTGTTCCCTTCTGTCGGCTTCTTTATGTTACACACTTTGAGCCTTTTATGGAGCAGATAGGGAAGTTTTATATCTTCAAAGGTGGACTTCAATGCAAAGCATGAAACTTGCCTATTCATATTTCAGAACTACGGCCAGAGTGCTTTGTTAATGGAAGCAATTAGGTTGAAAATCCATATCAGGAGTAGACGCAAACGCACTGTTTTACACAGGTCCATTTTGAGGACTGAAGTTGTTCTTCAGGTGTTGCTAACATGATCTCAGAAGATCTCTGCTATCGATTCTGCAAGAACGCAAAGCGCTATCCGACTGCAACGTGGCACCAACAAGGATTCTCCAAAAGCCTTCCAGGTGCGGACGAATTTTGACATTGTGGATGTTGGAGGAGTGGTGGGACGAATAATGAAAAGGGGTAGCCTTGCTGTTGTAGTAGCAGTTTCTGTCGGTAAAAAACAGTTTGGGCCAAACAGCGCTAGTTTGTGTCGGTTTTGGTATAATACAATGATCTTATAACTCTCTTCTCAATTGAAAAGCAGTTAAAGGAATATTCAGCTTCTTCTTCAGCTATTCAGCTAAAGAACTCGACAAAGTTCCACACGGAACTTGAAAATGGTGCTGAGAAAAGTGGTCCCGTTCACCACGCGCACGATACTGAGATCCAAACCAGGGTCGTGCGCCGCCTAGGCCAACCATCCCTTCATCCTTCCTGGTCATTCACTTGATACAGGCTGATTTGGAGCCACATGGAAAAGTCCAATTTAAAAAGTGGTCAATCTAAAAAGCACAGCCATTATCAGCTAATCGCAATTCGTTGTGTCAACCAAGTCGTTTTCAAAATGCCCCTTTCCGAATGGAAGTAGTAAGCGTGGCGCATTTCAAAAATTTATTGATCAATGTCAGTTCTTTTGCTTCATTACATAAAAGAATCGTGGCGGGTAAAGACGCGTGATCCCTTCATAGGTTGCATTCCCCATTCTGCCATGTTTGGTAATTAATTCTCTCTCCTGCCTAACAAAGGAAGAATGTCGATCGGAATGACCACTTGAAATCTGATTTGTCTGATGCACTTATTACAAGTCTTCCATATTTGCCAAACGGTGCTGCGAGAAGGCTATGAAGCTTTT